GCACTAATCCTCTTCCGTCCACAGCTGTATGCTATAGGAGGGATTTTATATAAAAGTGGGCGTGTCTTTACCTGGAGACTCCGCCCACTCCTCCCGTCTCCTAACAACCAGCTGTCCAGGCGCTCCGTGGCTCTGCAGGCCGCTGGACCAACAGAGTCCCGGACAGAGAACTCGGCTCTTTAGCCGGAAACACGATTATGGACTGGTAATCAGACTGAACCCAGGCTTCCGTCATGAACGACCGGTACGACCGGTACCACCGGGCGGCCCGGGACGGCTACCTGGACGTCCTGAAGGAAGCCACGCGGAAGGACCTGAACGCCCCGGACGAGGATGGGATGACGCCGACCTTATGGGCCGCTTACCATGGCAACCTGGAGGCGCTGCGGCTCATCGTGGGCAGAGGGTGAATCCTCACATTTCAAATGCTTTTTAATAAACCTGGGAGATTAATACAGAAATACATACATTTAACACATGTTGCACAATTTTTGAACAATATCTAACTTAAATTTAAGAAATGCATTTAACTAAATCGAAATCCAGATAATTTAAAATTGAAGCCTAATATTAGAAGATAAATTTAGTTTGTACTAAATGTTTCTGCCTTCCTAATGAACAGTAAAGAAAAAATGCACATGATTTAAAAGCCTCATCATATGAAAGGTCAGGATTAAGTACAAGTGAATGCACACTGTAGACAGCTTTATGTCCATTTATGATCCATTTCACCACACAATCTGTTAAGCAAGTTAGCATTTTACTTTTAGGGACTGCAAATGATCCAAAACCTGTTGGGTTTGATTGGATATCCTTGTTAAAAATGTAAGAATTTCATAATCAGAGCAGGATGCTAATCAAAGTGCCTTCTTGTTATCTGCTCAAGCAAAACAAATCCATCCTGGGTTCAATTTATCACTTTGGAAAGGTCAGAGAGAGAGAAAGGTCAGAGAAAGATTGACTGAAATGAAAGAACCAGCAGAGAGTAAATAACAGAGTTGTTAAGATATGTATTTACTTGTGTTTTTAATTAAAATACCAAATAAATCATCTTTACTGTCTTATATTATCCTCAGTATATCTATATTTTAGTGTTTGGTTAACCATTTATTATCTTCTGTATGATAAGAAACATTTCATTTAAACATTATATAACTGAATATAAGGAATTAAACACAAACAATGCATTTTTATGCATGTTTAAACTATGAATTATTATGTTCACATAGACTCTGGGGCTGAAACGGGTAATTGGAGTATGATTGACTAAATGAATATCAACTAATTTAGTCTTAAAATGTTTGTTAACTGGAGTACACACTCTCCAAAATATGCCAAAAAAATATCCAACTCAAAGCACTGAACAGAGCAAATATGTACCGGTAAAAAAAAATAAAAAAAAAAACAACAAAAGCTACATTTTTTATTTGAGAGTGAAAACCTAATTATGCTCTATTTCAACATGTTTTAGTCATTTATGATTTATTTAAAGTGTGCCAAAAATATTAAAACACTTCCTACTCAAACACCGACAAACATCTCTATTAAATGGCTTGATTATTTTATTACTAGAAATAATTCCTGCTCACTAGATGCTATTTTTAGTTGAATAGATTTAACTTTTCCACTTTTTGTCATATCAGTGTTGATTACTTGTAATTATGCTGCTATGTGATAAAGATATAAAGAGAAGTGCATAATTAGTAAAATGGCAAATGAATAGAATTTATACAGGTTTTATGTTCTTATATCGACCAATTAAAGTGCTTCACACTATGGAGACATTCACCTGATGCCACTCATTTATACAAACATGATATTTGTAGGTAACTTGGGGTAACATACTGCGGGAACCAGCTCCACCTGAAGTTTACATAAAGATTGCTCACCTGAGTGGAAGGAGAGTAAATAAAACAACGATACGCGTCTGTTTTAAGTTTTTACAAAAAGAAAATCTCAAGTTTGGTGTACAGTTTTTTATTCAACTTTTTCAAGTCAGGTAATCAGATATTAGTTGTTAGTTATTTGTATGTAATAGAGCTGAGCGATATGGCTAAAAAATCTAATCTCAGATTTTATTCTTCCTAATTCCAATTAATCTGTTTATTTTTCACTAATGTTTCATAACTTGGAAGGTTCTGGGTTCGATTCCCGGCCTGTTTCTGCATGGAGTTTGCATGGTTCTCCCTGAGCATGCATGGGTTCTATCCGGGTACTCCGGCTTCCTCCCACAGTCCTAATATATGTCACACATATATATATGACATACATCACTTTTAAAAACTAGCTTTTATTCTATTAATAACCTTGTAAAACAATCAGGTTTAAAAACAAACACTACAAATGTAACTGAAAAAGTTAGCAGCTGGTGGTATCCCACTATTTTATGAGTATACATCTTTATCTAAACAGATTTAACAATCCGCTATGGAAACCCAAGGAGTGGATTGTTGAAAAATCTCAACATATTTAAATGTGTTATTATAGTAACGATACATTTTAACCAAATATATTAAAAACAAGTTATTTTCTTCTGTTTAAATCTTTACCTGTTTGCTTAAATTAAATCCGTTTCTCTGCTTTGCAATAATTGAAGAATCCGGCGGGCCTCCTCAATCCCCTTTCTTTACTGCCATTGGAGCGCCATCATGTGTAGTCACTGGCAAATGTCTGACTAAACATCACTACCAAGTTGAATTCAGTTGTACAATTTTTTTTTGTCCGTAAAATAATAACATTTTCTCATTTTTATATTTAGAATGATAGACAGTCAGTTTCTGCTGTCACGTATCATCACCCCATATATGGTCATGATTTGTATAGACTTGTATAGATGTGATTTTCAATTAAATTTACACCTTTTTAAGTGTATAAAAAAGAATGACATGCAGATAAATTCTATTTTTTGTCATCATTTATTCTTTTACTTGCTTTAAAGGAACCATGAGCACCAAAACTGGCCTGAATTGCTTTCAGAAGTAGTTAATTCCTAGGAGTTTTTATGAAATGTGGACATCCATAGCATCCTCGTTTTAAATGTCTGGGCATCAGCCTTCTATTTTTTGTTTCTAGGAAAAAGATTTGTTGTTTGTCTTGCGTCTCTGCTTTATCACCTCTAATTTGAAGGTGCTGTGGGTGATCAGGTTACTGTCTGAGTTACGTAGGTGTGATTCCTGCTCCGTTTGCTCAGGGAGATATTTCCCGCCGGCGCAACTGGATCTGTTTTAAAATCCAACAGCAGAGTGAAGAACCTTAAAAAGGTTCCCAGATGTGATCAAGTTGACACCTCGTTTGCATTTCTGATGAAATTAAAGTCAGAGGTGACGCTGACGAGGCTGTGGTGACCATGTTAGTGGGTGTGTGCGCGATGAATAATGCAACGTCACCCCTGTCATGTTTAACCTGCAGAGTTTCAATTATTGATCACGGCCTGGCCGTGTAAGAGGAGGGAAAGAAAGTTTGTTTCTGCTGCAGCTGAATGATCAGGTTCATGTTTAGAAAATTATTTAGTAACATCTGGAGGAATAAACTGCAGATGTGGGCTTCTATAGTTAAAATCATTCAACATTAGAAGGGAGAGGAAAAGTAAAGAAACATTAATTTGCTTTAAAATCAGTTTACCTGAACACTTTAAATGATGCTACAGATACAGCTAGTTCTGAAATATAATATAATATCATAGGGGGTTTATTGGTATAACTTATGTAAAGCAACATCTACAGTAGCACAGTATCCAGAGAGTACAAATTTTCATTTTAATCACTCTGGGATTTGTTTGTATCTGTGGCTGTTTAGTTCTCCACTTATTTCAGGTGATTTCAATGCTGATTATCAAAGCTATATGTGAGAATGTATTCATAATACTTGTTTTATATGAAAGGAGTGAATCAAAATGTATCTGTTTTTTTATCTGGTAAATGTTGCGTTTTGTTTTTTCAAAAAAAGCACATATTTCAAAAAAATATATTTTTGGAAACCAGTATTATGTGTTTCACACAAGTCTGAAAAAGTAGATTCGGACCTAGGATACTTCCAGGATACAATAAATATGAAAAAAAAAAAAAAAACAGAACTCAATAACATATGCAATGTAGTGTAAGTTTTATAATTTTTTTCCATGCTCTATTTCCCTTTGTCTAAAATATTTTTCAGTTCATCGTTCCTTACATCTGTCAACTAAATATTAATTGTCCTTCTTACTTTCTAGAATTTTTCAAGATTCAAGATTTTAAGTCTAGAAACAGAATCTGAATTTGATACCATATTAATATATAAAAAATCTGGAGAACACCTGATACTTTAGTCAGGAAAAGTATGCAATATTAAAATGTTAGAAAATGTTTTGGAATGCTAAGTATAGCCAAACCCAGGATGTCTTTAAAGGTTATTTTGTTGTTGTTGTTGTTTATCACAATGGCAGAGCAAAACTGTGCTCAAAATTTTCAGTTTTTACAAACATAATTGGTTAATAATTTTAATTATTCTAATGACTTATCCAAAAATCTTAAGGCAATAGACACAGAGTACCAAAGATGCTTCCTTTAGGGTTAAACATTCTTATTATTTATTAGTTATTTACCTTCTTTGGTGATTTTGATATTGTCCTCCGGCTTGGAATATATACAGACTGATTTATGTAAACTTGTTTTTTTGTTTATTTTACAAATAAGAATTCTTCACAAAATGATGAACATCATGGGCATCCCTGAGCATTCAGTACATCAGGCTGTTGTTCAATAAATGAATCTCTTCTTTAGTCAGAGGATTATCTGGAGCTGCTGTTATACAGACTGCTACAAAAGATCCTTCCTGCCTACAACTATCAGCATCTACAACAACTAGTTTTAAGAATTATCTATAATATGGACTATAACAACATTTAATATAATAAAATTTAGTGAAATCAAATCAACCACCCTTGCTTTCTTCTATCTATTGTTTTAATGCTAGATAAATGAAATGATAAAAAGGAAGACAAGGATTTTATAAAAAAAAATATTTCCATGTCAGAAATTATAGATTTAATGTCCATCCCAATTAACATCTCGTGTGACTGATTGAATTTGTTTATACTCATAATGAAAGTACTTTCTTGCCTTTTCTGTCAAGTATTGCATGCAGACCTAAAAGCAAAACTTTAAGATTAATATTGATTGAATTCAAGACTTTTCCTTTCAATGTTTCACAGAGGTGACCCAGACAAATGTGACATCTGGGGGAACACGCCACTCCATCTGGCAGCTGCCAACGGCCACCTCCCTTCTCTCTCCTTCCTGGTTGCTTTTGGTGCCAACGTGTGGTGTCTGGACAACGACTACCACACACCTCTGGACATGGCCGCTGCTAAGGGCCATATGGACTGTGTTCGATACCTGGATTCCACTGCCGCCAAGCAGATCACCCTAAACCCTAAGCTGGTCAGCAAGCTGAAGGACAGGGCATTCCGGGCGGCGGAACGCCGCATCAAGGACTGCGAGAAGCTCCAGAGGAGACACAGGGAGCGCATGGAGAGAAAGTTCATGAAGGAGTCAGTGGCTCTGGACAACCTGGATGCTATTAGTTTCTCCAGCTACACCAGCAGCAGCACACTAAGCCGAAAGTTCAACACCGTTACCTCCAACATGCCATATTCACAGGTGGTGTTCCAAACGTAATTATAAACAATACCAACACTATTTTATATGCTATAATGATGCTTGTGAGAAAAGTAGGGATTATTACTTTAAATAACTTGATGAAGGTGCTGCTCTCAAACCCTAGATGGGATTTTAGCAATAAGGACAGTACCCACATGAGTGGCATTCTTTACACTCTTCTGAAAAGGTTAGGTATCAATAACAGTTCAACCTAAAAACCAGCTGAGCTTTCAGGAGAATCAAAAGGGTTAAGAAAGAGGACGGACGAGTTTCCACCATTGATCAAGGCATCCCAGAGGAGAGATGACCTGATAGTGGGGCTTGGCGATAAACCGGATTTTTATTATTACCGTCAATTCACTGCGATAATTGGCGCCAACATTCCCATGTCTTTAAAAAAAAATAAACTTAATTCATCCATTTTTCCTGGCACAATATCGTGAATTAAGTTAGTTTGGTTGAATGTTTACTTTCCCTTTTAATCCTATGGAGCCGAGGGAAAGCAGAGATGAAGTCGAGAGTGCGTTGTCAGAGTTAAACAATTAAAATTTTTCTAACAGCACGCTCAGTTCGGTGGCACCATAATTACGCCATAGATGTTGAGAAAAAGACGACGAAATGCAAAGATTGTCTGAAAAATGTCGGGAATTCTTCCACCTACAGCACAACCACGCTTTTGAATTCAAAGAAGTGCAAAAGGCTCCATTACCTTTGCCCAAAAATTTTTGCAAGAGAGGTAACATTTTTCTCCTGTTTTTAATGAGACATTGTTTAGTGTTTAAAACAGAGTTGGTAAAATACTTTAATATTTAATTGAAAGTAAGATGTAATGTGATTTATTCAATAAATACCGGTACATTTTAAATAGATTAGTTGCATTTCCTGCACATGCCTTTATTTCTGATAGAGTAGCCAGAGTATTTAACGTGCATTTATCGTTATCGAAGTAAAACTGCCCAATTTATTATGATATTGATTTCAGGTCATATCGCCCAGCTTTACACGATAGTGTTTGAAAGATGTTTCCTAACAATTTTTAAATATTAATCCCCAATCTAAAGCGGTAGTGTAGTTCTTTTTTTTTATTTCCCCTTTGACAAGATTATTAGTCTGGTAGAATTGGTAAAGGAATCATTGAAGTCTAGTTTCTAGGTCACTTGTTTGTCTAAAGGAGGGAAATACTTGCTTGTTCAATAGTGATAGTAGTGGTATAGATCAATGCAGTGAGGCCTTGGATGTAGTAAAAATTCCTCCGCTATTCATCAGTTATGAATGAAAATCAGCCATAAAGAAGAGGCAATAGAGAGGCTGCTCCTCTACCTTAAAAAGTTTACTGTTTTACTTGGAATATGCATGACAACTATATCTCTCTATCTTAAAAACATAAGTTACTGAGAAAAGTTTGCCAAACTTCTTTGGTTTTAAAAACACTGACTGTGGTTTAAGAAGGCTCATTTTATTTTCAGGCTACGTTGCATTCAACAGCCAAGGGCAAGGCCAAGCTTCAGAAGAAACTCGAGAAGAAGAAGCAGGTTGATGGAACGTTCAAGATCTACGAAGACGGGAGGAAAAGTGTCCGCTCGCTTTCAGGCCTGCAGCTCGGTAACGACGTCATGTTCCTTAAACAAGGCACTTACGCCAACCCTAAAGAACGGACCCGCCTCAACATCCGGGACATGTTCCCCCGGGATAATGATGATGACGTTGACACAGTTTCTCGTGCCATGAGTGACCCCGGCCTCTATGAGGCTGCGTACTCTGAAATAAGCGCAGACTCTGGCCGGGACTCCCTTTTTAACCGCCCTGGTCTTGGCACTATGGTCTTCAGAAGGAACTATATGACAGGCGGTATGTTCGGGATTGGAGGACGAGATGAAGGGAGTGTTGTAGGAAGTGAACCTATCGGTAGAGCACCTAACGTCCGTCTACGTGGACGCCTGCCTCAGCGTTCTCCTAGCTTTGATGAGGACAGTATCGGCAGCGCAATAAGCCTACAGGAGATGAACCTGCAAGAATTACCTTGGGAAGAGGCCGACATTGGGTTAGATGAAGACATGGAGCCAGAGAATAATCCTCTAGAGACTTTCCTAGCCACTCAGGGCCTCAGTGAGTTCTTACCCATCCTCAATCGTGAGAAGATTGACATGGAGGCACTAGTGCTATGTTCAGATCAGGACCTCAGTAGCATTCATATTCCATTAGGCCCAAGAAAAAAGCTGCTGGACGCTTGCAAAAGGCGTCTTGATGTTCTCAAAGAACCAGAAGCTGTTGAAGACTCTGAGCTTTAAGATTCAATCTGTTTTATAGTAGAAGCCTCATCCTTCACTTTTATTTCTACTAGATAGGTGCATGGACAACTTCCTTAATTGTGATGTCTTTGATCATTGATATACTTTCTCATTGGGCCAGGTCTCCAGATGAAATTATCAATGTTTCTCAGAGTATAATGCCACCATCTAGTGGCCACCAGGTGTAACTATACATAAGCTGACTCTGAAGGTTCTTTAAAGCATGAGTTTTATTTGTATTTTTACACATACTTATGTGAAATGTAGAGTTTGGCTCAATATTGTGCTGCTAAATACAAAACAATTAACAAATAACATAAAGTAATACAAACTTTACTGTGAATACAGTTTTTGGTTTTCCAAAAGTACAATACAATAAAACATTCCTTATTGTAACATTCAATAAATTCTGCATTGTTGCATCAAAGAATAAATAAAAAATACATTTATTTACTTTAAGATGTATTTTTTTTTTTCTTTGGTAGATGTTTGTCATTGATTGAACTATCCGTTTGAGAGAGAACTGACATGAGACTGAATGCAAACAGAATGAGATGACGAGGTGTCTGGGCCAAGTTACGTGTTGTGCGTAAGATAAAGCTGCAGTTTCAAGTTCCTCCACGTCAGCTCACCTTTCAGCTCTGGTTGTAGCCGTACCTGGGGTCACGACCTTGCATGTATGATCAGTTTTATGTTTATGTAGTTACTGCCTGAAAATACACTACAAACATGACTTTTAATAAAATCAAGTCAATTTGGTCATTTTTGTCAGCGTCTTTATTGGATAGATTAATAGATAGATAATGATTGTTTTTAATGCTGTTAGAATTAACATTATGTCCAATATTTTTTCCAACTCTTTCAGACACTAAATTTGTGTAATTATGTTTCTCTCTACTATATTTATCATGACTTATCTTTTTTTTTTATTAATAATTTTCTATCATTTCTTCCTTTTAGTTTAATTTCCTTCAAGAGATTTTCAGATTTCATGTTAATTTTTTTGCTTTTTACTGTTTTGGATTTTAGCCATTTGACGTTTATATTTTAGCAAAACTAAAATGATCATTTCTATCAGTCAGGGTTTTTCTCTTCACTGTCAAGACAAGGACAGTGAGAGTTTAAGAAACACAAAATGACACTAATGATACAAAAATGGAACTCTAATCTGAAATTTTTAGCTTTTTGACTCGTTTATTCCACACCGATCTGCAGTTATTGCAAATCTGGATAATTGTGTATACAAAATTTGATGTTCAAAAATAGGTGGAAGTTTTTTAAACTAAATCACCAGCAAAGGCTAATAAACGTAAAATACTTAGGTGAGCATTGCCATACAACTAAAGTACTGAAAGAAACAGATACATGAGTATTGCAAAAAAAAAAAAAGCAAATAAAGTGCAAAGCAAAAGCAGCAGAAAATATAAGCCATGAATATACAAATTAGAACAATTCTGTGGCTTCTAAAGCAGACAGAAACTATATAAAAACAATAATTAAACACATAGAAAACCACAGGAACATACATAAATCCCTTTCAAGACAGATAATGGTAAAAATAACCAAGCAGGACAGAGAAAGGACAAAAAGACATAAAAAAAATGGTAAAAAGATATATAATTGCCTGATAAGTTTCAAACAAATGTATACAAAAACTACAAACATTACAAATAGATTTTCAGACTAAAAAGTAGTTGTCACAACAAATGTCCTTTTGCTGAAAAAGAAAAGTGAGGAAAGCCTAGCATTAACATTTTGAAATGTAATGGAACCCCCCTCTAACCAGAAGTGCTATTGCACTTCTGGTTAGACCTAAACTGCATTTCGTTGCCTTTTACCTTTTCCCAATGTCATGACAATAAAGTTGAATCTAATCGAATCTAATCTAATTTAATGTTTAATGCAGAGTAGTTTCAGTGATCTATGGAGACAGACAGGAGATGGAGGAGCCATGGATGGAGATGTTTTGCTTCAGTGGGATCTGACCAGCTCACCATTATAGAATCCATGGGCTGTACATGCAAAATCTGATTTCTGAGGATTAGGGTTAACTTTTTTCTGACTGA